TTTTTTTACTTAAAAATTTTTCTTATTATCCGCACGTCAAGAAAGATTTCAAGACATGTCCGTACTACATGACATTTTTGCCCAAGGAAGTCAAGAATTTCATACGCTTCTTAAAAAGAAGTTCGCCTAGGGAATGGTATTACCAATAGCATTAGAAATATTGATATTAAAAAATTATTATTTTACCGAACGATATAAAACTCAAGATAAGAAATTCTACATGAAGTATGAGAGAAGAATAAATGACATTCGATTAAGAGCTGACAAAATGTCAAACATATATATGCAGATATGTGTATCTGACAGATGATGGAAACTGAATAAAATTGAAAGAATGTAATTGTTACTTCTTACTCTTCTACAGCTTTAATCTAGTAAATTACTACAACAGACTAGATTTCTAAATATAGTTATATCAAACAGTATGACATAGAGTGTTCCATGGTCAAGTATTATCTTGGGAAGAATAGTCAACTGTAAAAAAATGAAGGTCAAATTTTGACTATTACATTTATATAAGTTTCGTTTAGAAAATTGAATAAGACGATCGTAAAAATAAGCAAGTTAATGATCATATAAAAGTGAGTAATCGCCGATAAGAAATATTTATTACACGAGTAATTTTAAAATTATAGTATTTGATTGAAAAAATATTGTACTAAAACATTTCATATAGTAGTTTACCAAATTTTATTCGCCAAAGATTTAGATTTTATTCACAGAAGAAAGTACTGTTGTTCTACTGAATTTCTCTAAGATTAAAGTACTATTTAAATACTTCAAAGTGTTACTAAAACGCATATATAGTATAGTGAAAAAGATCTTGATAAATTTCAGTATAATACTAGACATATGATTTCTATTCTTTAATACAATTAATTACTCGTAATAAAAGTTAAAATTATTAGAACATATTCATTATCATCATTAGATTTTCTTTGTTAACGATATTATTTGATTCGTTTATAGTAAAACAAGTTTTTCTTAGCTCGTTCTCTTAAGAATTTAATATTCGTGTCAACAATAATGAGACAAAAAACAGATGCATACGATGAAAATATTTAGCAGATGTCGATTTTAATCAGTTCTACTAGAAAAAATAAAACTGTAAGTAAAATTTTAGAAGAAAATTGTCAATTTTCTCGTATTATTCTAAATTAGGATTTCAATACATATAGTTTATACTGTTCTCAAACTTCAAGAAACTGAATTTTAAATTATTTCTGATATGATTATATTAGGTTTTTTTTCTATATAGAAAAGTATTTCATTTCGTAGTGAGATCAAATAAATATATTTATTCTTTAGTCATTAATCAAGATCTTGATATTTATAGACGTCTTAATCTTGTCGGCAGATGGTATTCCTCTTCACCGACGTTTATATTCACTCTTGCCTTGAACATACTCAATAAATTAAATCTTATTAGTTCTACTACATTTATAATTCATTGACATCCATTTATTTTCTATTTATTGATGTTAACGAGAAACCATGCTAGTCTACTTATATTAGAATGTTAGAAGTGTTTTTCTTATCAGTACGTTGACATTTTCTTTCATTATCTGTTTTGGAAGATATCATTAAATAAGACTGATATTGTAAATTAAAGAAAAAATAATTTATTAATATTATGTTTTAAGAAATCAACTGACATGATCATCAAATCAATAGGTATAATTATGAATAGAATAACAGTTATTTGTTTCTTGTTTCCGGTACTTGATTAAGTCGACATTTATTCCTATTCAAATAGTAATATTTTTCTGTCAAGTCAATTGTGAACTGACGTGTGTAAGATACTGAAACTATCTTGAGTAAATGATAAACTCAATTATTATTTATTCAGCCTTCGTTTTTTTTTATATCATTAGCTAAGATTAGTTTTTCGATGAATGATTTCTATATAGAATTTTTTGATCAATTACTAGTATATTACATCACTATATGTATGACAATGAAAAACAACTCCCACTCAGTTATTTTTGTATACTAAAAAGGTCGTTTACAAATCATTATAGTAACTATTTATAATAATAGTATTGTATTCAGTATATGTTTTTGCTATTCGAATAAGGCTTCACAATAAATTTATTTATTTACAAAATGTCAAGATTGATATGAAACTGACATGCAAAATATCATACAAATTTTTTATTATTATTGTTCGCATGTTATATAGTACACTCCATAGTCTTTATTAGGAATAAATAAGTAAACTATGGATCGAACGCTACTAGCGCCATCTAATTTCGCATTTGTTTTTTTTCGTATCTAAAAATAAATAAAATATAATAATATAAATAACAAATGATTTTTATTTATATTATGTTTTTTTTTGTATTGAAAGTGTTACATAGATGGTGATAATAATGATTTGAGCAAAGGAAGATAGACATATTATTTATTTTTGTACCTCCTATTTCGTTACACTCAAGGTGTGTAATATGAGATATAAATCATTCTTCTTTTTTCTATATATTTCTATTTTTATTTGCAACAATACATAACTAGGAGAAAAGACATCGACAGATTTATTAAATAATTGGTCCGATAAAAACCCAAGAGTTTTTTTCATTCTGCTATTTCATTCGTTGTTATTATTATTGTTGTTTATTTGTCATTTGAGAAACATTATTCATGATCATATGTTATAAATGAAGATATAAAAATTCTTTTGTTTTTTATTTTTGATTGTTTTTTGTACATGCAATAATTGTTTCATACTGGTTTGGCCGATCAGTAATGGTCGATTTGGGCTATTGTTGGCCATAAAAAGTACGACAAACGAATTTTTCCCGAAGGGTTAACAATCAAAACAACGAAAAAAAGATTTTATTTTAATTAATTCCATACTTATTTTTCTTGGACTTATCGAGCTGAAGCGATTCTCAGACGCACTCACTCATCTGCGACAAATGCCGTCGTCTTCATCGTCCTCATCATCGAAGGATAAGGACAAAGACAAAGATCCTAGTAAGACAAAAAAGGTATGAATTTATTTTTCGTGAAGCTATAATTTTACTATGATTATATTTTTTTAGACGACAGCTGTCACAAAATCAAAATCAAAAGATGAGTCAGACGGAAAATCAACTGTAGTTGATGAAGTAATAAATAATTTGATAGAATTCATTTATTTTTATTTTTATATTTTTTTAAAATAGAATAAAGGCAAAGAATCAGCTGTTAATAAAACTTCGACATTAACAGCATCCTCTTCGAATAATAATAGTGGAGCAACGAAATCTATTGGACGTACAAGTACACTTTCAGCATCACCTCAACAACAAACTGAAATAATGTCAAGTGGTAATAATCTTAGTGCTAGTGGTTCAAATTTAACAACATCACATCCACCACAAACACCATTAACAAAAGTTCAACCAATGACTGGTGTACCTAATATACGTAAAGATAATCGAAGAAATTCTTCACGATTTAATATATCAAAAAATCGTGAACTTGTTAAATTACCATTATTAAAAGATGCAGCAGCTAATGAACGTGAATCATTATTTGTGCAAAAACTTCAACAATGTTGTACAGTATTTGATTTTCAACTTGATCCATTATCGGATCTTAAATGGAAAGAAATAAAACGTGCAGCATTAAATGAAATGATTGATTATATAACAGCAAATCGTGGTGTTATTACTGATCCAATCTATCCTGAAGCTGTGCGAATGGTAAGTACTAAAAAAAAAAGAAAAAATTCTTAATTATATCTTGTTTTGTAATTTAGTTTTCTATTAATCTATTTCGAACATTACCACCAATATGCAATCCATCAGGTGCTGATTATGATCCAGAAGAAGACGAACCAAATCTTGAAGTAGCATGGCCACATCTACAACTTGTCTATGATTTCTTTTTACGTTTTCTTGAAACACCGGATTTTCAACCAAATACAGCAAAACGCTATATTGATCAAAAATATGTTCTTAATGTAATTGAACATATAGTTCATCTTGTTTATATAATGAAAGTATTATTTTTTATTTAGTTACTTGATTTATTTGATAGTGAAGATCCACGTGAACGTGATTTTTTGAAAACAATTCTTCATCGTATTTATGGCAAATTTCTTGGTTTACGTGCTTATATACGAAAACAGATTAATAATACATTCTATAAGGTAAATATAGATTTATTTCCTGATTTCAGTATATAACAATCGAGGAAATTGATAGTATATTATTAACTAAACAGACGAAAACAAATATTATTATTACATATATGTACTGATAATTTATTGACTTTATTTCTAAATTAAGAATAATTAATCTAGGCCTAGATAGTTTTAGTTATTATATGTCCTCATATAATAATTAATTGAAAATCTATTTGTCTGAACAATATGATCGATTATTTTTGTATTTAACTAACACTATTCAATTGATAGGATTTAATCAAAGAATTTTCATTCTGATTGTGACACTATTGTCAAAAAATAAATTGTTTCCGAATGACAAATAAGATTTCCTTCTTTAGAAGAAGTCAGACAATCAATAATCATACTTATAATATAACGATCTTCATATAATCATGAGATAGTTTATACTAGATTAAAAATTTGAATATTAATATTTTAGTTCATTTATGAAACTGAACGGCATAATGGTATTGCTGAATTACTTGAAATTCTTGGAAGGTAATAAAAATTACTATGATAAAAAAGTTAAAAATACTATTTTTTGTTAAAATTTAGTATTATCAATGGATTTGCATTACCATTGAAAGAAGAACATAAAGTATTTTTAATCAAAGTTTTATTACCATTGCACAAAGTTAAAACACTCAGTGTTTATCATCCGCAATTAGCCTATTGTATCGTGCAATTTCTTGAAAAAGATCCCAGCCTAACTCAACCGGTATGATTTTTTATATTAAACATTCAAACTTGACTTTATTTTTGTTTTTTTTCATAGGTGATAATGGGTTTACTTAAATATTGGCCAAAAACTCATAGTCCAAAGGAAGTTATGTTTCTCAATGAATTAGAAGAAATTCTTGATGTTATTGAACCAGTTGAATTTCAAAAAGTAATGGTTCCTTTATTTAAACAATTGGCTAGATGTGTTTCAAGTCCACATTTTCAAGTTTGTTTTAAAAATTTTAATATCAGCACATATTTAGATCTTTTATTTTCTTTTCAGGTGGCTGAACGTGCACTTTATTATTGGAATAATGAATATATAATGAGTTTATTAACAGAAAATGCACAAGTTATTTTACCAATTATGTTTCCAGCTTTGTATAAAAATACAAAAACACATTGGAATAAGTAAATATAGACATAGAATAAATTTTATTTATTTTTTCTTCTATTTGAAATTAATAGAACAATTCATGGTTTAATATATAATGCATTAAAATTATTTATGGAAATGAATCATAAATTATTTGATGAATGTTCACAAAAATATAAACTTGAAAAACAAAAAGATAAAGATAAATTACGTGAACGAGATTCAGCATGGGTGAAAATTGAATCAAAAGCTAGACAAAATCCAAGTGTAAATAAAAATTTTAATAATTTTCTTTTTTTTTAAACAAAAAAAATCAATGATTTATTTTTTAGTATAAAGTGTTTGCAATTAATCAACCTGAACTCTATCGTCCTATTGACAATGATGATGACGATGGTGGAGCAGCTAATATAACAGCAAAGGAAATTGAACAAGAAGCTAAAGAAGTAAGAGATAACCGGAAGTTTACAAATATCTTATCAATATTCTAAGTGGATGATAAATTTGAAATTACATACTCAATAAGATAACTATACTAAACATTATCGAATTAAGATAGTAACTAAATCATTCGTTTTCCTATAGATTATTGAAGGTCACGTCTGCTAGTTAATATTCAACAGGATGTCTAGATCAGCTAAGAAAAATCGATTATACCGTATATAAAGTAAACCGGAAAAAATAACAATTTCAATAAAACTAAAACAATTGTTTTATAGCATTAAGCAGATAATATAAGAAAGTAATATTATAACAATAGCAGAAAAAAATTTCTATTCGAGAACATCTTATTCATTATATAAAGACCGGAATCCGAGAAGTTTTCTTTATAATGAATTTTATACGCTTAGAGACAATGAATTCTATAGATCGGATAATGACGCGTTATTTATTGGTGTATTTTAGCTATAGACGTCATTGATTATATTAAAATGTATTCATTCTTGTAAGAGATAAGTCTAGCTTATTATAACTAATCATCTGAAAAAAATGATATAATGTTATTTCAGTTCTTTAATTGAGTAGAAATCCAAATGAATATGAAACTTCGATTCTTCAAAGGACATTTTCTATAGTCAAATTCTGACATACATCAGCTCTATAATTGAACTAATTAGAAAAGATTTTCGACTAACAAATTATTTTTAAATTCGTATCTCATACGTGAGACAGACTAAAATGATGTATAAAAACCCTAATAGAGCAAATGTTCTTAGTTTTTATATGCCGAAGTGCTAGCACTTGTTTTTCTTTTTTTATATCTCATTGTGCTCTATCTTAGACATGCAATTCGAGCTAAAAAATGATTTATTAGTTGAAAATGTTCTTTCATGCATATTGACAAGATAGAGTATAGCTATAATTGTCCTGTTGATAACGTTAAGAATTAAATATATATGGGATAAAAAAAGCAGTGCAAAACAGTCTTGCATACCCAATAATTAACAATGTAGTTTTAGACTGAGAAGAAAATTTCTTTGCTTTTTAATTCCAAGTTTAACTAATCAATTTGATGTTTTTTAGGCAAGTCGTACGATGCAAAAAGGTAAACCAATGGTACGACGCAAGAGTGAATTGCCTCATGATTATTCAACATTAAATGCATTGGATAAACACAAACGACCTAATGAATTTCTAAGTTCTTCAAATGAAGGAAATACCAATGCTCAATAAATGAATAATATATCGTAAACTGAATATATTAGAAGATTTATCTTTTTTCAGTTTCTTGATCTACTTGTGTAGTTAAATCAATTTCTTTTTTTTTGTTCTTTTGTACAGAAATCTAAGAATTATTTCAAAAAGAAAAAAAATAATAGAGTGAACTAAAAAAATTCTCTTATTCGTACATAGACAGTTCATTTCTGTTTGATGTGCATCGTCACGTGTCTCTTTTTTTTTCCTTTCCGCTTGTATTTTTCTACGCACATATATGTCGTGAGCATGTTTCGCGTTGTTCTTTCTTTGTTCGTGTGTTCGATTAGGCGAAGCCGACAACAAAGTTTTTGTTCTTTCCTATTATTCTTTTGCTCGCGTTTTTTCCTTTTTCCTATATATACATATATATATATATTATATTCATATTCTGTCGCTCTCTCTCTCTCTCTTTTTTTTTATCATCGAACAATTGAATAATCGTTCTTTTTCTAAAAAATAGCTATGTCTACATATAAACGTGTGCATATTCGCGAATATTGATCGATCGATCGATTGATTTATCTCAAATATAAAAATCAAAAAAAAAAAGTATGATGAAAGATCTGTTATTATTCTCTTCATTGTCCGCGTGGTTTGTGTGATCATTTCTGCCTTTGTTGCGTATATTCGTGTGTGTGCGTGTAATTCATTTTTTTCACCTCGCGGCTTTTGTTTGCAAAACAACAAAAAAACATAACATAAATCTTCTATCCATAATGTTCATTCTTTTTTTTTCTTTTTCTCTAACGACTTATGTGGTTTTTTTCTTTATTTGATTATAGATTTTATCACCATCTTTCTCTAAGTACGACTGTTATCATTGACGGGTTTGGTTTTGATTTTGTTCATCTATATTCAATCATAAATTTTATTGCTTATTTAAGCAGATAACAAAAGAAGTTAGAAGATTTTTTTCATTGTGTCGAAGTTTTATTTCTGTGTTTATTATAACACATTTATTTGATATTCAACTCTAAAAAGTTATGGTCGATAGAATAACAACATCATCATCAACAACAATGGGAAACGACAATGATGATTGGGAAGTGGCTGTTGATACGGGCGAATTTGATAAACGACTTGAACAACAGGAAAAAGCTCGTGCAGCCAATCAAGTAATTTTTTTAATTTTAAACAGGATAGTTTTCTATTCATTACCCAAGAGTGTAAGATCTATTTTAAATTAATTTACAAACTAGATGACAAAGATAGAAACAGTACTGATCGTAAAAGTTATCTTTACTGATTAGTTCAGTTCAATATGACCTGCTTAGATCAGTATCCGTTATTAACAATCCAGACTAGATCTATCGTTGATGATTAGAAGATATATATATATCGTATTGAAAAATTTGTCTTGATTATATAGAAAATTGCCATTGATAATTTTTAGAAGAATTATTCTAGCTTTATTATGTTTAGTTTTCAACTAAGAGCTCAGCAGATATTATAAAATTCTTTTTAAACTTGAATATAAAAACCTAATCTACAAAGATATTACAAGTACACAGAAAAGTATTACTTGAGTTTTTAAAAATAAACATATAGGAGATATGCAACCTTATGTAAAATATTTCAATTATTAATTTTCTCATAAAAAGCTAATAATAACTTTTTAATATATTTGAAATTTTTCTAATTTATTATAGGAACCTGTAATATCTGCCGCACAATCCACTATTAATGACGATGACAGTCGAAATTCATCAAGTATTAATTTAATGAAATCGAATAAACCAATTCGAATTCTTAAACGACCAACTAGTCAATCTCAACTACCGATTAATAATGATGTAACTAATTCGTCGATAGCAGTATTAACTGCTATTACTACTACTACTACGACTACGACTATAATAGCATCGAATAGTGACAATAATACTAATAACAGTAATTCGCCATTTTCTAACAATATTTCTTCGTCTACAACAGTGCCTGTCGTATCGATCATTCCACGAAATCAAACAAAAGATTCAGTGAATTCTACAGAATCAATAGCAACACCTGTTTTTACTTCAACGTCTACCTCTTCACAATCAATAAAACCTGCTATTAAAACTTATGAACAACGTGAACTTGAATATAGATTAGCTCGACTTAGGTAAATTACATAAAAAATAAAATAAAAATTCATAATCTTTTCAATTTTTGTTTAGAATCATGGGTGAAGAAGAAAGTTCTGCAAAAGATGATGACGACGATATTCCTGTTGTTGAATCGATACCTTCGTCTACAGATGATAATACTAAAACTACAACGTCTTTTCCCTTATCTGCAACTTCATCAACTACAAGAACAACAACAAATAAACCGAGTGGATTTTCTCAACAACAACTTCAATGCCAGTCAACACCTGGTAGCTACGCATCAGATTTATATACACTTAACAATATACCACTGAATACTGGAGCAATTCATTTTACACCAAATAATAATAATAATAATGTTAATAGTACGCCAAATCTTGGAGTAGGACCTTTTTCTTCACCTAATTTTCCTCAACATTATCGTGGTGCGTATTCTGCTCCATACTCTCATATTATGCCACCACCACCACTACCACCATCAGGAGCTCCACGTTATCCATTAACATCAACAACAACTGCCACACTCTATATGACATCCACAGCACCATTTGTTAGTGCCCCATCATCATCATCGTCATCTGTATCATCATCATATCATTATCCGTCACAACAACATCAAAATATAACAACTAATAACTGGTATCATTATCAACATCCTCAAACACCGTATGGTACCCAACAGTATGGACATCCGCAATAAATTATTTACAGGAAAAAAATACATGATTGTTTTCATTTTCTCTCTTATTTTTAAAAAAAATCCATTCGTCGATCGATCGACATCAGATTTCAAAAAAAATTAAAGTTTTTTTATCTTGCACGGAACAGATATTGTGAAAAACAATAGATAGACAAACAACGATTTCTATCATCAACAGCAAATAGAACAATAGTTTTTTTTTAAAAAAAAAAGGTTTGCAAAGTAAAATAGTAGAGCAAAGAGTCATTTTGACATCACACAAGCCTCTCTATTACATTTTGAAGGTGTGTAGTCGTTAAAAATAATTTATTAAAAGTGTTCTATTTTTGTATCACTCCAAACATTGAGTATATATATATATTGTACGTATGCAATTTGCCGACGTATTTGTACTCAAAGAACAGATTCAATGTACTTGGAGTATACGAAAATAAAAAGAAAAAAACAAGAGAACTGTTGTTAACTTATGGATTATAATCCAAAAAAAAATATTCATTACTTTTCTTTTCCTTCGTCTGCCGACATCTAGGTTAAAATTTGCAAGTACATTTTATTTATATTTGATCATATAACATTTTTTTCTTTTCTGTTAGTTAAAACTGTAAAACAGTTTTGTATGATAAGATATATAGATATTTTTCTTTATTTCATATATAAAACTAAAAGTAGCATAACTATCGACATGTCTTTATATCAACTTGATCGAATGGTGAAATGAAGTTTAATGACTAAGTACCGATGTTCGAATCTATTTAACTGACCACATCTAGCTCCACTCCTTCCATATATGAAGGCAGTCGGCGTTCCCTATGTGTGGAAAAGCGGATTGTCCTCTCGCTATGCTGATAGGTCCTCGCTTGCGAGAGTGATCTATTGGAACGTAGAGTACAAACAAAAATATTAAAAAAATAATTTTTTTTATTAAAATTTTTCAATATTTTTAAAATATCTATTGAATCGAAATTTTAATAACTTAAGAACATTTTTTTATATCAAATTAATCTTTTACATTTCGAATTCTATTTTATGTTATCATTTATCAGCACATGATATAATTTAGTTGTTTTCGAAGTATGATGCTTCACTTTTTTTTCTTCACAATACAAAAGAATAATTTGCTTGTAAATAAGTATCTATAGAAGTGTATTCTAATGTGCATATGTTATATTTTATACGCTGTATTTTTTTTTTTGTATTCTACGAAAAAAAGACTAATAATCAGATTTTCTTGTATAAATTATTCTGATCAAATTGAGCGAGATTAGTCTTGTTATATCTTGTTTAATTTTATCATATAGATGTATGATACTATGTATCATCCATATAATGTAGTATGAACTACTTGTCTATTCTTCTTTATCTCTTAATCTTATCATATGAAAATAATATTTATACCACTGATAATTCATTATTCGATGGACGTTGATTTCATTTATAACTCTCCTGATTTAGTATTCAGTTATCATTTTATGTCGAGTAATTCTCCTACTTTATGCTTATTTTAAAAAAATAGTCATATGAAATTCTTTGTGTTATAAATATGATGTAAGATATTTCATAGTATATAGATTAACAAGAAGTTGTTCAGATTTTATCTCCTGAAAGACTAATTTTCTTCGTTTTTCTTAGAGAAAGACTTCCAGTGGAAGCTATAATTTAATTGATATAGATTACAAAAAAAATAAATATAAATTTGCGGAATGTAAATCTCTACCACCAAATCATAAAAGAGAGAAAAATGGTTATTGTTGTCAATTTTGATATTGTACCTAATTCAATACTTAGAAAATAAAGAGGAAGTGGAATAAGTATTTCATTTATTATCAACTCATAATTAATTCTATCATGAATTGTTATTTCAAACATAAACATCTTACGTTTTTTGCAATTGAACATAATTTACGAAGAATATTTATATTATGTAAAATTATGTCAATTATACTAAATAAAATAAATGACACAAGAATCATATCTATTGAATTTTCTATAACACTTAAATATGCTAAAAGTTAAATAATTATTTTAAGCAGTCATCATGGGTTTTGACTCATCTGATGATAATGGTTGTATGTTATGTGGAAAACCCAATGTGTCCTATATTTGTAGTTGAAAAAACGATGTATGAACAATAAATTGATCCAACGAGAAATAATCACTTATATTCATCTATATTTTTCTACTCATTTAAAACATTTTCTTTTGCTAGAAATATATCTAACAATTTTATACTGAATTTATAATAGTATTCACTTTATTAGAAATTGATTTATTTTTGCTCTAAGATATAATTAATGATGATAAAAGAGGCGAATTACATCTTCAAGACATCCAACTAATGAGTCTGGTAAATATTGGACTGAATCGAAACAGAAAATAATCGAATAGACATGAATAACTGACGCGTATACTCGATAGCTCATACATCACTATACGTCCACACGTTACTTATGCCTTCATTGTATTTATGTTTCGTGATATTATCTTTCTTTTTTCGAAAGCAAACATAAATATTATTCTTATCTTAGAAATTAATCAAAGTTTAATCATCATCCATTTTGCATAATGGTTGAATCACACTTAGGTCGATGATTCCATCCTCGAGAACTGTCACGAAGGGAACACGTCGAACTTTAGATCAGGGTACCATCAGATTTTTCTGCCTATTTCCACAACTTTCTCGTAGAAACGATGAAAATCCGACACAAACAATACGAACAAATTCCAGCAGTTCTCGACTAGTTTCACTTTTTTAGATACTTGCGATATAGAATTTGTCATGGGGATAGTCCTATTCTCGTATGTAGCTACTAACGAGAATTCGGTACCTATTATTTGTTGAACATCACCATCATCCACATCAAAATCCACCATTCCCGACTACACTACTATTGTATCACTCAAAAAGGTACAACAAACAACTTCGATACTTCTCCCCACGTCAACTACCTCACGATCGGTTTTACATCAAATTTTCATCCATTTCAATCACTCAATTTAGACTAGATTTTCCCCAAAATCTATTCAACTTACCGTATCTAAAATTCGCTCATCACTAATTTTCAATACATCAAAAATAGCAACTTCTCAAAAAACTTCATGGAAAATTTAAATTTACTGGCGAAGTGCCCAATCCATTCGAAAATCAAATTTAATACGATAGGCATGATGTATCCGTGAAAAGTCTGTTGCAGAAGTTCCTTTTTATCAAACCCAAAAATTAATTTTAAATCAACTAATATGAGTGTTTTCAAAACAGCCTGCATTTGATAGGCCATTACTTCTACAAAATTGAAGAAAAACCTAGAACCAACCATTTTCTGACTGTACTGTTCGACCTGAGTACGGTTACTATTACAACAAAGATGTCATATAATGTTTTGAACCTTAGGTAAGTAGAATTATGTCTTTGCAATCTCATTCGAATGTCTAATATTTTTGATAGAGATGTGCATTATTCAAAGAAATATGTTCCAAGTAAAAATATCGTTAACTTGCTGATTTTTATTCTGCTATGATAAATCCCTAATTAATCATCTGAGTACTTTTATTGCTCAACGAACAGCACCGAGTGTTACTTCTGGCGTTTTTAACGATTGTCATGGACACGTTTAGCAAAATATTTCGATCTGAAACACTAACGTCATGCACCATGTAAAAATGTTTAAAATTATCCCCATTTATATTATTTCACCACCGTTTCCGATAGTTAGAGTGATCGTTCTAAGTAGGTCAAGTTATTCTTTCGTTTTTTTATCGTAGAAAATATACATATTAAATTCTAGGCATTATCACTGTCATGGACGTTACAGATTATTTATCGATACAATCGAACAACTCGCTGGATCAAGAGTTCGAACCAATTTATCAATCATTTACAATTTGTACTGTACTGATTTTGTACCTTCCAATATTTTTTAAAAGGAAGAGTCCTTGTTCATAGATTTGATGATGAAGATGCGGCACAAAAGTTCGTTAAGCATTGCAAGATTATTAAGTTTCACATAGTAACTGAATAGAACAATTAAAATTTACAATAGAAGTAACATATCTATTGATATATTAGACAATGCTTGATGAAACTAAAAGAATTTCAGTTTCTGTCTGAATAATGAAACTTTAATAAAATTTACAAAGAAGAATATAATATAGAGTTTTCTTTATTTAATTGTCTGAGCGTTTTTTTGCATCAAGTCTCATTATTTTTTATTTCTAAATTTTAACTTTTAATCACCAAATTATACACGAAAGAAACGCAAGAATGGCAACTGAGAATAAAATGAATGATAAAACATAAATAGCAAAATCATATCCAGAAAATGAAGATATTTCTCTTAATTGTTGTATAGTAAAAACAATACATAATAAAATAATATGTAGCATCTAATAAACTTTAAACAAGAGTTTTTATTTATCAAATTTCACCTTGTTTATATTGAAATTGGAATTTTTTTATTGATTCTATAGTTGGATCTAATGCAACATCTAGAAAATGCAAAGTTAAGAAGATAAGAATCTCAAAAAACCTATAATAAAATCTTGAATTATCATAGAGAAATAAAAGTAATATTGATGTTGCATCCAATATTGTATAAGATAATGAGCGTATTAAAATATATTTAATCCTGTCATATATGTGTTTTTATTTTATAATATTCAAGGATTATATTTGTAGTATATAGATTAATAAAATAATATAGATACCATCAAGTACAACAAATATTTGAACTATTGATGGCTAATATACGATGCAATGTCTTTCAAGCATTTTTATTATTGAATTTTCTTTTTCTTGTTATGTCACTATGCTTAACAATATCCAGTAGAAAAAATATTTAGAATTCTTATTTCTTCTTTTCTGGTTTTCAAACAAATAAAAACGAAAATAATTATATTCGTTTTGTCTGAGAGCTCCTCTCGATTGTGAATGCTATGATTGATTGGATCATAGAGTACGAACAAAAATATTGAAAAAATGAATTTATTTTCATTAAAATTTCTCAACAACAACACTTTTTTATATGTGAACAGTTTTATATATTTCAAATTCTATTTTATGCCATTATTTGTTAAATTGATTTTGCATGTCAGTCAGTGTATGGTATAATTTAGTTGTTTTCGAAATATGATTCTTCATTTTTTTTCTTTACAATACAAAAGAATAATTTATATGTAAATAAGCATCTATAAATATGTGTTCTAATGTGCATGTGTTTCATTTTACGCAATATATTTTTTTTGTTGTATTGTATAAAGAAATGATTAATAATCAGATTTTCTTGTATAAATTATCCTGATCAAATTGCACGAGGTTAGTCTAGCCATATCTTCTTTAATTTTACCGTTTATACGTCGTATGGAAGTCACTTTTGAAAAAGTGAAACTAATATTTACTGATTGTACTCTTCACATACGTATTTTTTCAGTGGTGATGTTTCCTATTCGCTTCGTTAAGAATATCACCTCAATTGCGTACCCATAACTCTCTCAACAGTTTGTTGATAACGTTTCAATGTTAATACTCTATTGTTTGATGAATCTTCCTTGAGTGTCATAATTTCTGCGTTGAATTGTGTTTTTCATTAACTGTTATCATTTGTACTTGTCACCAAGGATGATGAATTGTAAATGAACAGAATACAAATGTTTTATTCAAGAAAAATCACAGACTTTATATACGAATGCGGATCATATATCTTTAGAAAATATCTATCAGATTATCGAGGTGCGGTAGTAGGAATCCCAAAAGACGAAATAAACACGATAAAATGACGCAGAAATTAAGGACAAATCCAAACGTGTGACGCATTAATGATAAAACCAATAGAGCAGAACAAAACGGACATACATGTTCGGAAAGTACAATCAGTAAATATTATAGTTTCACTCGTCTGAAAAGAACTTCAATATGATATATATATATGATACTATGTGTCATCCGTATAATCTAGTATGAACTAATTGTCTATTCTTCTTTATTTCTCGATCTTATCATATGAAAATAGCATTTATATCATTCATAATCTATTATTTGGTGGCCTTTGATTTCATTTATTATATTAATAGCTCTCCTGATTTAATATACAGTTATCGTTTTATGTCAAGTAGTTCTCTTACTTTATATATTTAAACACTACAATCTTCGTTTATCTTATAAATTATTATTGATAACACAAGGTTCGACTAGTGTATGTAATATTTTCTATATTTAATATTTACAGAGAAAGTATTAATAATTTTACTAAGAAGAAAGATAATCATATGAAACTCTGTCTAAAGATATGATGTAAGATATTTCATAATATATAGATTAAAAAGAAGTTTTTAAGATTTTTTCTCTTGAAAGAATAATTTTCTTCATCATTCGTAAAGAAAGTCCGTTGTTGAAAGCTATATCAATATTACTTTAGGAAGTTAATTAATAGAATAATCTATTTCGATTGACCTAATTAATTCTACAAAATACTAATTAAATTGTTTATTTTAACTAAACTCAGACGAACTTCTAATTATAAAACATAAATTTGTACATATTTATGTCTATATTCGATAAGATTGGTGATAAAAATATGTAGATAATCAAAATCAGAGAGAAAATCTGTAACTTTTGTCAAGATACTTGAGATATTTTATCTCAGTTTGTCGATATTGATCCTTGAAAACTAAGTGTCAATTTAAATGACTAAAAAAAAACAAGTTTATGACAAGGTAAAATAAAACAAAAATATCGATATATGCATGCGAAAGAGTGACACACGTGTATCGAAATTTTATGAGTATGTCTGCGTACTTTTCAATGTTCTCATAGCTACCTACGTATATCATTTATAAGTCATACGATAGATGCAATAATTTATATATTTTTTTCAATTAATATCTGGCTATATTTCATATTTTATAAACCAACGAAGAAATACTTGGATAAATTGACTCATTTTTACTTTATTCTAGAGTATATTAATTAAATTGATCGGAATCTGTATAAATTTTTTTGATAATGTTATTTATGCATCACTGTACATTGATATTTTCTCTCTAAATTTACCTTCAAAACAGCAATAATAGTCATCACCGTTATCATCACTTTTACGTTTGTTACTATTTTGGGATATTTCGAAATAGTTTAGTTTCATATAACGCCCTATCACTATACACACATATATATATATTAAGATTCAGCGGCTAGGAATTTTATACGAAAAAAAAAGTAACACAGGTTTTCTTTACCATGATAGAGAAATTTTTAGAATATTCGATTGTGAAACTATATAGTATACAGTAAAATGATTTTATCTTGTTATATTGATCATAATACTTATAAATCTATGAAATCGCCATATATATTTTAATGATTACTTTGATTGTATACTAGGATTGATTTATTGATCATCAATATATACGTAAGTATGAATTACAGTATAAATACTAGATATTGAACAATAAACAATATGCAGTAAGTTGTTTTCATATGATTTTTTTTTCAATATTTTTGAATGAATAATATAGAAAGAATACCGACAACGCTTAGTATTTTATTATCGATTGATAATATATCAATATACACAACAAGAAGAAAGAATATGATTATTTCATATCGTGTATGTAAATATTATCATATAATATTGTATAGGTGAATAGCACAAAAACGAAAAAATAGACAAAGAAAAAAATGTATAATATTACCATCATTCTATTGCTTTCTTTATGGCTCTAGAACGGTCTAAAATTCCGTATATACGTTGTATGACACATGTTGTTTTTTTCGTTTATTCTTCTTCCTTATTTACCTTCTGATGTAATTTGTCCTTTTCTTTCGTCATAGTTTTTTGCGTAGTCATTATTAAAGTAAGTACTATATCGTTTTAATTATATAATAAACGAGTATTGTAGTTTGTATATATTTTCGATAGAAAAAAAATCGATTCATAGACGTATTTAATAACATTAAAAGCATATTGTCTGACGTAACGATGGTTGGAGAATAGATCTACCAGTGAATAGAAAGCAATCGATGAGTCACATATATCTACAAAATTTTTGTTGGTTGTTATTCTTTCTTCTTTCAAGGTTGGTTTATTTGAATGTATAAGAAGACGACAATTCATTCTTTCTCTCCCTAATATTCATTATCATATGGAGTGAGTCATCTATCGAGAGGTCAATCCGTACGTAAAAAAAGCCCTTTTTTTGATGGGGATGGGGGTGTGGATATGTAACATGTACATACTTCTACTCTTTTCTTTCTTTTATTCTGACACGAAGAGGGGTTGTTTGTTATTTTTATTTTATGAATAGGAATTATTTACTTTTCTAAGTTCTAGATTTGATACATAAATAAATTTTTTTAAAACTATTCAAATCAACCATCTATATATATATATTTACAAATTTATCTATGTCTTTGAGTACAAAACAAACGAATGGTAATGATCGTGTTGACGCTCCATTTTTATTAAGTAATGATAAAGTAATACATTATTTACAAAATTCAAGACGTTGTTCAAATAATAATAATAATAATAATGATTCATTAAATATTCTCCACAAATCATCGTCACACAATCACGATTTATTTTTTGTCAAAGATTCGTCAATGAATAATAATCACAACAATAATAATAATCATCAACAACAATCCGAACAACGTATACGTTCATCTTCAGAAGATGGTTCATCATCATCTGTTAATGATACATTATCAAGATCCGATTTTAGTCTTGGTTCTAGTCTATCCGATCCCGGTGGATTTTGTAGTATATTTAGTTCAAATACATCATCATCTGGTATATGCAGTACATTTTCTGATGTTGGACATGAAGAAAATACGTCAACATCATCAGAAGAACTTGATTTTAATCTTGGTTTCGATCAAATTAGTGATAATGATGATATAGAAGTAGCCAATCTTGATGAAATTAATGATGATGATGAATGTGAATATAATGATAAAGACGATCAACAAATGACAACTGAGAACAGTGTTGGTAAATAAGCAAAAAACTTAATATTTAACTTTTAAATTTAAATGTTTTTTTTCTTCGAAGAAACAGCTACATTACTCGATGGCAATGATTCAAATTTAGATGCACGTATAAGTGAATTAGAAGAATTTCTTCGTAAATCTTATAATTCAACGAATATTGATGATTATGAATTTAATAATGACGATACAATAACTGCTCATCAAACAAAACAACGTGCATCATTTTTACATGATTCAACATATACATTATGTCCTCAAGATCGTTTTTCTGCATATACTGACGGTGATGATCATGAAGATGAACATATAGCAAATGGTATTGGTATACGTTCAAATTCATTAGGAATCGTTCCGTCGAATAGAAAAGCAGTTTTAATAAATAAACCACCAAAAAAAGTTGTTCGTTTTGCTGATAAGTTGGTATGTTGTTTTATGTGTTTAAAGATTAGTTAAATACTATACTCATTTACATAAGAAACAAAAACGAAAAGAGAAAAAGTTTATGTTTGAGATCAATGAGTTAAGATCAAATTAAATATTTTCATATCAAAAGAAATTATGTATATAAAGTTTTTCTACGATAAAAATGCTTAGTGTAACTTTGATTAGCAATGGATACAAAATCTTGTAATCACATTATCTATGAAATAGTTGAAAAAGAAAATATCAATTAGCTCTTACTGAATAAATAAAAGTGATAGTTAATCCTTTATATATTATATTTAATAATTTTTGTGTTAAGGGCCTTGATCTTGAATCCATCCGTTATATGACTCCACCTGATCAATCTACAAATTCACTTATACAAGAATGTATTCGTATTAAACTTGAACAATTACGTGTTGCTAAAAATCAATCAAGTATATCTTCTATATCTCAATCTCCGTTTGATCTAGCAGCCAACAGTACACGAACACCTTCATCTTCAACTCTATCCGCCTTCACTAAATCATCAAAGCAATATTATCTTGTTTCAAAATATTTTACTTCACCAACAAACATTATTCCGTTAATTTACGAACGACAAGTAATGCTTGAATGTCTATATACAAAAGATTCAATAGCATATGGAACCGTTCGTGTTCATAATTGTGCTTATGATAAACGTATTTTTGCTCGTATAACCGATAATGAATGGGAAACATACCAAGATAATCAAGCTTGGCATTCAATGAATTATGCAAATAATAATACAGATACATTTACGTTTGAAATACGTCTAGGAAAGTATAACAATGATGCCAAAGTACCTAAACAAATTTATTTTGCTATTTGCTTACAAGCTATGTGTCAAGAATATTGGGATAATAATCTTGGATGGAATTATTTATTAGATGTAATTGAAAGGTAAAAAAAATGAACAATATATTTTCCTTGTTATTTTTTTTTCAAATTAAATTTTTATATATAAAGATCGTTGAGAGTGAGACTCTTATGTTATTTTTCGTACTTTATATCTCTTGCTTAAAATTATTATTGTATAAGAAACATTTCTGAGTTAGTAATAAATACTGTATAACCAATTCTATTCATTTTTACATTACTACATAGAAAATCCTTTAGAAACCTAATTTTTTTTAAGTATAGTTTCATCTAAGATCTTATCGTAAATTTCTTATATAATTCTAAATATCCATATGATAATCAGTGAATAAAAAGAATGTTTTTATCGCACAAAAAAACATGACGTCCATATATATCATTTATAAGTGGTAATCAAAATATTAATAATTTTCTCTAACATCTGTAGATTGTCTTAGTTCTAGTATGCAAAAATATTTCTTTTGATAATTGATTAAATTTATATAGACATTTGTTAATCTTTTTTTAGCAAATAACTTATCGATATAATCATTATTCTTTTTCTATGATTTAATTAAATGCGTATAAAAATGACATCGCTAATAACTAATGACAAACTCATGTAATCTGACTAGATAATTAATAGTGAAGAGATAAATTTTTTTTTCTTCTCGACTTTTCGTAAAAATTAAAATTCTATTTTTAATAAAACAATAATGAAAGTCATTAAAAATGCGAGTCTTGTTTCTCTTTTTCTTCTCGATCTATATCACATATATTATAATTATCTATGTCAGTTATATATCAAAGTTCGAGAATATTTCACACACATATGAACCGCTCTATATATTTGAGAGAAGCCTATGTTGCACTATTCGAACTATTTTTGACGTTCAAAGTGCACCATTTACATATTTTTTTTTTGTCAAAACAATCTTTTAAACTGAAAATAGTAATTTAGAATATAATAGACAATATAACGAAAATACTGCTGAGAAATAGGTGGAGTAGGATAATTATTGGACTGTCTCGTATATGTCAAGTAATGATGAGCTGTAAAATTATGATAAATCTCTCTAGGGAAAAATATTTTTATTTCAACTCTCTTGAGTATCAAATTATCGAAGAGAAAAAAATATACTGAATGTCCTTTTGCTTTTCTTATATTACAAAAAAATAAAAAATATTTCCAGTAAATCAAAGATTATATAAAAAATGTCACGTATAATAAATCAAATACTAAGATGTTTTTCAAACCTATTACTGTTCATATAAATGAATAGAATTTAGAGAAAATATTGATAAAAAACATTTGTCAGTTTTGTCCCTAATGTATTAAATAATTCTATGTATTTGTCGGACAACTTCATAGAAAGACTATTTTGTATTGTTTATTGTTTCCTTGAGCAACAAAAATACAATCAATTTATTCATCTGATCAGCTTTTATATACGGCCTTGTTTGCTTTTCTTAATGATATATTGTGTAAAATAATAAGATAAGTCTGACAAGTAAACAATCAATCATATTCTTTTACAACTTCTCATAAGAAAATAAATCAATGATCTTTTGATAGAATATGTGTTTTATATATATATATATCTATATAAACTATTTTATTTCTTTTTTAGGCGATAACAACAAAACATGTGAAAATATTCAAAAAAGAAAAATCATGAAACCATCATTCAGAGTCGAATTACACGTTTAACGTGCAGCTCTATCCTTCTTATCTATATATTTTTTGTCTTTTTTCTCTGCATGGTGATATATTTCTTTTTCTTTCACTATTTTTGTCCTGTACATTAGTCTTCTTCTTCTTTTGTGAACATACGACTCGTTTTTTCTTCCTACTGTCTTCTGTTTTCTTTCTCTCTTTTTGATTATTTACTAGTGTATGTGTGCCAATATTGTGAGGTTGATTATTTTAAAAAAAAGACTAATGCCACTACACACATATATATATACATATATATCGCTTTGTATTTATCTTGCTTGCTATATTTCTTTCTCTTGGGAGAACTAATGAAATATGCGTATATTATAATCAGCACCAGTTTTGCTAAGTATGTATCTAATGGTTTTCTCTGATAGCCAGACTTCATCAAATTTTTCTAATAGATCTGCTTGTACACATATAGATATCCATATATTTTCTTGTTTGATAGATTAACATATATAAATATGGGACGTATGTTTTTTTTTGTATCTGTTTTTACGTACATTTGATTCTGTGATACTAATGATGATGACGAATGATTTTTTTTCTGGGGACGATTTACAGGAACTATTGAATATTGCATATTAATGATATAGTAGATATAAAATAAATGAAAGAATAAAGATGTGAAGAAAAAATAATTTCATTATATTTGATTATAAAATCACAACACAGTTGGTTTTGTTTAACAATTGGTGACAATAATCAATTGGCTTTTATTTGCAATATGTAGATTTTCTTTCTATAGAAAACAAAATGCTATAGCAATATATATAGTCTTGTTATTACTGTTCTTCTCGTCAATTTGTCTAGAATGCCTTGAGGGAATTAAAGAGTATATTAAGGTTCATAATGTTTTCGGCATCTTCGATCGATATATTCAATATTAAACATTTATATATATAAATATATAGTCAATAAAATATAAACAATAATTTTTAAATGTTATTCGTTATTAACTAAATTGAGTCAAATAATGAGCCGTAACTGATGTTAGTCAATGGCATTGTTGACAATGAAAATAGTAATTGAGTTGCAAAAGCATTACTTGCATCGACGAAAAGGTTATTTGGATCAATCTGATAGTAGAAGGAGAATATGCTGTGCTGACAGATGAGTAATAAAGATATGAGTATTCATGATTATGAGGCTAGGCAAGCTTCTATTGATTGAATCAACTAATTCGATTGGATAAAGACCTAACAGCTGATCTATAAACGGATTTTACTATCGATCATAAGAATTTGTTCGTTCGTCTATCTGTCATAAAATGATTTACATTGATCAAAAAGAACTTTGCATTTCCTTAAACAACAAACATCTAATTTCGGTTCGAGTATTTTGTGCATCTTTTATCAATTTTATCATATATATATATATATATATATATATTCAGTTACCGTTTATAAAATATAGAAGAATAAGTTCAATTCAACAGCTTTAGGCTATCATAACGATCTAAACATAATCATATATAGGGTATTATAAAGAAACTAGTAATCGATAGCATATAGAATGACACCAATATCTTCTTTGCTAGTGTCTAAATATAAATCAAACTTCTGTGTTCTCTTTATTCCTTGTTCGTTTCCTTTTTCTCGCCTCTCCCTATCTCTTTCTCTATTTTCTTCTTTTCTCGAGTTTTCTCCCCTATCTGTTTTCTCTCTATATATAGCTAGCGAGAATATATATTCATTTCGGTTGTTAAGGAGTAATAAAAGAGAGAAAGAAGAAGTAGTGTGCATCGTTGTAATGATACTGATGAACGCGTAGTACTTCCTGTTCATAGCATAGCTTCTTAAAACAGACGTTTAAGCAAACATGAAATAGTTCCATAGGTAGAAGAATTAGTATTGTTGATGGATATAATAATCTAATTTAGTATAGGCTATTTCTAGCATTTTGTATTTATTAATTTAACTTATATGAACAAGTTTGTAACCTTATTAATAATAGAAGTATATTTTGTTAGAAAATTCTATGCTTGTATTAACAGCAATTATTTCGGTGTGCATTAAACGAGATAGATATATATACGCATGACATAAGTACTAAAAAAGAAGATAAATAGCTATAAGAGAGCATGAACTTCTTTCTTTTTTACTTTCATTATATTGTCATTCAATACTAAACTCAAAAACATAATATTCTTGTAAATTAGAACGACTCATTTAGATTAATAAGATAAATTTGTGTAGTTCAAGTTACATTTATTGTCTTAAATTCCCATCATGATCTATAATAACTGGCTTATTACCAGCTGCTTATTGTCGCACAGAGTAACCTGATAGAACAAAATTGCATTGTATGCCGGTTACATTCTCTTTTCTTTTCTTATTAACGTTTCCTGAATTGACAAATACACGTACGTATTCATTTTTAAAATAAATTGCCTGAGTATAACATTCATTTTTTAATTGTCATGTACACATCAGCTACAGATCAGTCAAAGTAAAAAGATTATATATATATAGGTTAGTTTTAGTCATTGTTTTGTAAGACACAATACTAATAGTAATTAGCACCAATAAAAATATGCGATTATGTATTTCATCTGTATGGATGCTTTTATAGATATAAGAAATACAAAAGAAAAGAAAAAAGTAGTAAAAAAACAAGTATAATCGGCCTCGATGCTCGAGAAAGAATCGTCATTTGTTTTTTCTACATATTATCATTCTTTGAATATGCAAATGTAAAAAAAATATATAGCAAACACTTCTTCTATATTCATTCTGCTATTAGTATTTGTATATTAATATTCGATTAAGTATCTTATATATTAGAATAAAATACAAAAAAAGAAGACTAGATCTTTATTTCTTTTTTTTTTGAAAGTTATTTAATGATTGAAGTTTTTCTTATTAAACTTAAAATATTTGTTTTTACCGTATTTTCAATGAAAATGAAATACCGAGAGAAAAGTAAATTGTATTCGTAGTTCATAACTATTGATTCTATATATTTATTTGCTATCAATTTTTAATAAGAAAAGCAAAAAAAAAAAAGGAAATCTTTTTTTTGTTCTTTAGTCTTCTTCTTCTTCCCAAGTGACAAACGCAAAAGAAATAGAAGAGTTTTTTAATTGCTTGGTATTACTAATAATCATGAATAATTCGTCGTCGACATCGACGAATTTAATTTCTGAACAACGTCTTGGTGAATTTAAGCGTATTATTGAAGGTTATCTATTATCTATAGTATGTATATGTGGTTTATTAGGTAATGCATTAACATGTGTGATATTATCCAGTCGTGTTATGCGTACCTCAACAACAAATATTTATATTTTTGCATTATCATGTGCATCATCATGTGTTTTAATTGGATTTTTATTAACACATGGTATACGTTCGACATTTCAGGCTGAAACTTTTTATCTACATATATTTACAAGAATATTTCCAATACATTTGACATGTATACTTATACAAATATATTTAACAGCAACTGTTGCTCTTGATCGTTTTATTCTTATATGTTTGCCATTTCGAGGTCAAAAATGGCGTAGTCCACGACATGCAATATTTGTTGTTTTATGTGTTACATTATTTTGTGTAGTATATTGTATACCATTTTGGTTTGAATATACACTTGTTAAAACCAATAATTCAACAAAGATAAAAATATCAACAATTGGTGCACATCCAATATTTCGTTTAGTAATGCGTAAATATCTTTATTTTGTTTTTGTTTTTCTTATTCCATTATCAACTATTATTTTATGTAAAACAATGATTATTAAAAAATTATATGCAGTACGTAGACGTAAACGTTTATTAAATTCATTATCAAAACAAAATCGTTCATCAAATGCAATTAATTTTTTATTATTATCAATTGTATTCGTATTTCTTCTAACACAATTACCTTATTTTGTATTTAATGTTCTTTATTCATGGTTAGGTCCACAATTAATGGCTAATTTACTTGCAAGACAATATTTATCTATTAATAATCTATTATCTGTTTTAAATGCTTCATCAACATTTATACTGTATGCGTTTTTTGATCGAAAATTTCGACAAGTTGGGCAACATTTCTTATTCTGCGAACCATTACCAGCTAGTTTCGATACTCCAGGTGGTGCAACACGTGTATCGAATCGTAATCCAAGTTTATTTTTTTCAAATTCAAAATCATCTCGTTCATCAATACATTTCTTTAAAAATCATCGATATTCAGCAACTGTAAATAATAATATGCGAGAATTAACAAAACACGAATTAATCGATGCTAGATTAACATCAGCGAATAGTGTTCCACTCTTCGATAAAATAGAACCAACAGCAACAATTGATTGAATATTATAACAAAAAAAAAATAAGTTATAGCCATGTTTTCTTTTCTATTATGTTCAAACTAATTTTTGTTTTTCGTTTGTTTTCTTTTTTTTCCTTATTTTTGGTTATAAACATCATTGAATATTGAGTGTCAATTTACACGTATACATTTATCAAAAGAAATCTACATTATAAGTTAGTTATCTTATGATTAGTACAAATCAACAAAATGATAAATCTAGACTCTTATCCAACACTAGATGAATTATGGCTAAATATAACTAGTAGTTTAATCTTTTCCTGATAAATCAATAGAAGAAATTTCTTTTTTTATAGTATTTTTACCTTAGAATAGTAAAGAAAAGAATTATTTATTTGATAAGAGCTTTTTTCTTATGTTGTTTAACAAGAAAAACATTACAGTTATAAATAGTAATAGAAAGATTTATATTCATATATAACATATGTGTCTTATTTTGATAAATGATATATAGGCGAGAAATATTTCGACGGGTAATTATATCTGAACTTTGTCTTAATCGAAAAACAACGAGCTATAAATGCTATGATTTTCTATTATCTTTATTGGATAAATATTTTCGTTTCACAACTGATCTTTTGATAGAAAAAAATATTTTCTATATCATTCGGCTGATCATCAATCAAGATGAGAGATATGATTATTAATAAAAAGAATAAATGTATCGATAACATGTCTGCAGTAATTCTTTTGATCAAAACTGTTCCATGTAAGATTAGAAAAAATTAATAAATGTCAAAAATAGGTGATGTTGACATATTTTATCAACAGATGTGTGATAATTTTAGAACTATTTTAATTTTTAATATTTACCGTAATAATGACTATAGGTGTCTTTTTAGTTAATAATTCTGTCTTGCTAAGGAAATGTTTACACTCTTGAATCTCTGTAATTATTAGTTACTTCCGACATAATCCGGAAATCAAATGTGATGTCTATGTACATTATTGTAAATTTTTAAAAGCATTTTTCTATTCGGATAATTTACTGTGGAAATACTTTAATTATTACATCGCGTTTTTAAAGTAGATCGACGTAGACATCATTCATGGATTATTTTCAGTATTTCAATCTAGAAAAACTATCTATAGATTTACATAAGAGATAAGATAACTGATGTTTTTCTCTCTATATATATGATATTCAAGCAAGTATTTGAGTTCGTCAATCAACTATATAATTAAATCTATATGAATTAGTATTTAATCCTTTGAAAAATTGCTTTTGTATAACGATCAAAGAAAAATGAAACATATTTTAAGTTTGTTCTATACGTCCTTATAATTAGACAAGAAAATAATCTCGATTATTCTGTTGAGTGCAAGGGGCGATGTTCGTTATCTTTAAGACATGAAGATTAGTGAAAATCTCAGCTAAAGCTTTCATTCATTATTTTTCTCCCAAAGAGTGATGCGTTACTTAAAGAGAAACTAATCATTTATTAGAAAAAAAAAACTAAAAATACTGGAGCTTATTGTTTTTCAAATAATGATTCGTTTAAAGAAAACAACAACAAAAAAAAACTCAAGTGTAATATTATTTTCAAGAAACTAACATGTTACATCTAATATTACTTCATGCAAGGATTAGATTTGTCACGAAGGATTATTAAAACTTATCTTTCTCTTATTTTACTCAGTTGATTCTAGTCTAGCACATGATATGTATTCGGTCTATTGGAAAGCTATCTATAGAAAGGAAAATATGTTTTGCTGTATATTTAACCTTGCAGCTTAATTACTGATAACGATGTTTTTTTTCTCTATAGTTGATACAAAAATAAGAATATAATAATTAATAGTTGAATAGATATGTACTACACAAAATCGAACGTTTATTGTATGAATATGATGAACAAAAAGGTAAATATACAATAACAAAACAAAATAATTCTTTATGCTTTTTTAATTGATTTCTTTTTCTTGGCATTTTTGGCTTGAATTTCTTCTTCATCATCATCATCACTTGATACATCACCAACATCAATACCTAAGAAAAAAGCGCCAGTAGCACCCGATTCTTTTTTTGTTTTCTTATTTTTAAGTTCTCCATCTTCAAGTGTATCATCTGAATGATGACGTTTTTTCGATATTATTTCTTTTTCATCATCATCATTGTCGTCATCACGAGTACTGACTGCTGTAGTTGATTTTTTCTTTTTTGTCAGTTTTTCTGCAGCGATTTGAACAGCTTCATCAATATTGTCAGCAATTTGTTTCTTTTGTTCATCATAAGCTGTATCAGAAAATTTATGTGGAGGTGGAACATTGCGATAATCAGTTTTCTCTTCCTGTCCTTGAGATGCTTTATTTTTTTGATCAGTTGATGATGAAGCAGATTTTTCTAATTGTTTTTGCATCCATTCCTAAAAAGATAACAATAATAATAATAAATTGTTTTTATTTAATTCCAACTATTATAATAAATCATAACTTTCATTCTAATTGTCTTTTGTTTATGAATAAAGAAAAACTATTTGACCTCATATCAAGTGAAAGAAAAAGGAAATAATCATATTTTATTATATGAATACTTAAAAAATCACGTATATTTCATTTCGCCCACGATTTGATCTATTATGGAATAAGGAAAAAGATTATTTAATTAGAAAATATACATACTTGAAGTTTTTTTTCATTGTTTACATCTCTCATTCGTCGCCCAGTTAAATCCCGGCAAGCTTCTTTATTTTTTGATATAAGAATTTGTTTTCCAAATGAACGTAATAACGATCCAAAACCACCCTTAATACAAAAAA